ATGCTTTCCCTTTTTCAGGCCAACTGTTTCTGTGGGTTTCTCCAACCTGGTACAGACCCCTTCGTTCTTCATTCCTCCCTCTCTTCAACTAGGTTCCAGATTTCAGCTCAGTGTATTTCTGTGGAAGTCTGTCTCTGCTTCCATCAGCCACTGGATGAGGACTCTGGTCTGCGATGAGTTGGCGGAAAGGCCATTTGTATCCCTTTTAATATCATTAAACATTATTTATTACAATTTTTTTCCCCTTGAGTCTTTTGGATTTCATCTAACTCATTCTCCTTGGTATCCATTTTTGTGGAATTACTACTTTTCACAGAGTTCATACTGCTTTTTTTCATGATTCTTGGTTTTCTTTTGTTGGAACTTGTACATCTAGGGTTTTTTCATTGGTTGGATTTTTTTTTTCCTTTTTCTTTTATCCTCCCTGTTTAGTCCCCCGCCAGGATATTCTTTCTGCTCACGTATTTACAGTGCTTGAATTACAGCGTCCAGTGGGGCTGAGATGTCATTCCTCCCCAGTAAGCTGGAAACTCAGTCCACATGCATGACTACACTCTTTAAGAGAGTGTTAATTGCAGAAGCAACCATTACTACCAACTAGTCATTTAAAAACAATCATCTTTTTTAACTTCAGTGACTGTTGGGCATAACAAACAGTAGTACAGTGATATTTAGTTACTAACATTAGGAAGAGAAGAGGCTAACTAATCATAGGGTTAGTATTGATCAAAAGAGGGAAAGGCAGCTAGAAGGGGGTTTGGAATATTAGGATCTACAGAGCATATAGATTAGGGAGGAGGAGGAAGAGGAAGTGGCTCAGTGGTTAAGAGCACCTGCTGCTCTTGAGACCCAGGTTCTATTCCCAGCACCCACATGGTGGCTCACAACCGCTGGCAACTCCAGTTCCAGGAGAATCCAATACTGTCTTCTGGCTTCCTGGTGTACCAGACATGCACATGGGCCAAACACTCATACGTGTAAAGAAGACAATTTAGAGGAACCAAGAATATTTAGAGATATTTGTGCAAGAGTAAAGTTTTTTGTTTGTTTTAAAGAAAGGCCAGGTAAACTAGATTTTAAAATATGTAGCAAAATCAAATCAGGCATGTCTAAAATTCTTGCACTTGAGATGAGTCAGGAGTTCAGGGTGATCTTTGAGACCAGCCTGGGATACATGAGAAACCTGGAGGGAAGGAGGGATGGGAACAGAAGAATATATCAGACCACATTCTTCCTTGGTAGAAAGATTTTTCAATTCCTCTCCTATTCCATGTAGCAGATGATACTGATGGGGAAAGTACAGTTGGTGGCTGCATTTTAAGCCAGAATTGTGCACATTAAGTGTTGTTGGTTGTTTTTTACTCTTTCGCTCCTTTGGGAGCTCGCTACCCAACTCTCAAATAACTATCACACACACACACACACACACACTCACCTGGCCAGCTTTCCTTAACTTAAATTATTCCATCTACCTTTTGCCTCTGGTCTTTTTCTTTTCCTTAACTCTGTATGTCTTACTTTCACTCTTATTCAGGGGCTGACTGTGTGGCTTGGTGGTTAACCCCTGGTGTCCTCCTCTCCTTGTTCTCTTGCTCCTCTTTCCAGATTTCTCCTATCCTCTCTGCCTGGCAGCCCTGCCTCGCTGTTGGCCATTTAGCTCTTTACTAGACCAATCAGGTGTTTTAGACAGGCACAGTAACACAGCTTGACAGAGTTAAACAAATGTACCTTAAAAGATTGCAACACATCTTTGCTCGTTAAACAAATGTTCCACAGAATAAACAAATGTAACACAACTTAAAATAATATTTCACAACATAAATGTCTCTGAGAATTCAGAACAAGTGGCTTTTTGGGCTTCATTCTGCTTAATGGCCAGTTGCTGTCAGCCCTCCCTTCATCTTTTCCACTCATGATGGAGTGTGGAGTTTGTGGAAATTTCCTCATCATGTTCCATATGTTCTGGAGATAAGTTCAAGGGACAGAAAGTGCCCATGCCTGTGCTATTTATTTACCCCTTTGGCAAGGGTCCTGGCTGCCTCTGCTTTCACTACAGTCTACCTAGTTTGAGATTTGGCCAGTTTTCTTCTTACCAGGTGAAGGCACTGCCCTCATTTCCTGCATAGATGCTTGCTCAAGTAGGGGCTCAGAGACTCAGCTTTAGCTTCTTGCTGGCTTTTTTGAAGTTGTAGAATCAGAGGAGTTGAGGGAGCACCCCCGCAGAAAAGTCCTGCTCACTAAGCGTGGGCACAGGGTTTGAGGCTGCTCCAGTGTGTTCCTCTGCAAAACTCTCACCTGGTTCATCCGCTTTCAGTTGCTGTGTTTTCTAGGAAGGAGAGGCGTATTATTTATTATCCTATTTTTCACAGTGGGTCACACTGAAGGAGCTTGTTAATTTGCCATCTAATCCAGTATGGCAGCTACTTTTAATGTTAGTAATAATTGTCCTTTTCCTTTGTCCTTAGTAATAATTGTCCCTATGCATGTCTTCTAAGAATACAGCTATCCTGAATGTGTGCCTCTACCTTCCCTGGAAGATCAGCCTACTCCCATCATCTGTCTCTATACTTTAAAAGTTCAAAGTTGGGTTTTTAAATGAAAACATCTGTATTTTTATGACTTACTCTGTATCTGATATAAAATGCAACTTTTGGCTTTATTTCTGTTTATGAAATTTTTGATAAGCTTTAGAATGAATTCTTTCCACTACAGATTTGCATGCATGCATATATAAATTTTGTATTATATTAAAAATATGTAATAGTTCAAGAGTACAATTGATGTTATAGAAGTCAGGGGACAGGAGCTTGAGGTAGTTGGTCACATTGCACCTGCAATCAGGAAGCAGAGAGCGATGAATGTAGGATCATTTGTTTGATTTTTCCTTTTCACTTAGTCCAGAAAGCCTCCCATATTTTGGGCATGTATTCCCATTTCTAATAACCTCATCTACAAACTCCCTCACAGACACAGCTAGTGACTCACTGACATCATGATCTCAGATCTCATCAAATTGACAGTGAGTTTAACCATTACAGTATATTCAAAGACTGCCGTCATCTCAGTGGAAGACAAATATCCATACCAGGCTGCTTTGGCTGCTTTCTATTAACTTGAGATACAAACTAGAGCCATTTGGAAGGAGAAACCTTGACTGAGAAAATGCCTCCACCAAATTGGCCCTGGGCTAGCCTGTGTTTCATTTTCTAAATTGCTGTGGGCTGTGCCTCTCCTGGGCTGGTGGTCTTGGCTTGAAGAAAACATGGCTGAGCAAGCCGAGTGGTAGCGAGCAGTGCTTCTCCATGGCCTCTGCTTCAGTTACTGCCTTGAGCTCCTGCCCTGACTCCCGAAGTTGCTTTGATTATGGTGTTTTATCCCAGCAATAGAAGCCTTAATTAAGACAATAGTTTTCTAAAACAGTAATTTATTAAAAGATCCTGAGTAAGAAATGTACTAACTCTCTTTTGTTATGTTTGTAGGTTTAACAATGACCCATCCATTGATGTTCTTTTACTTACAACTCATGTTGGTGGCCTAGGACTTAACCTGACTGGTGCTGACACTGTGGTATTTGTGGAGCATGACTGGAACCCTATGCGGGATCTACAGGCCATGGACCGGGCCCATCGTATCGGGCAGGTAAACATCATCTCACACTAATTCAAATCCTTGCTTTAATGTTAAGAAGTGCTATGACTTTGGATATATCATTCACATTTTCTGTGATAGCATTTCCACTACCACTTTCTGAGCTTGACTAAGAACACCTGGGTCACTGTCTATCCTGATGTTTAATGGTTCCTGAAAACATTTTAGGTCATGAGACCAGAAAAAAAAAACTCCAGTAACAGTTCAGATAATGAAAAGAGCTGGCTTGACAAACCTGAGCTTACCAGTTTTCATTACAGTTGAATCATTTTTTCTTATTCAGAAACGTGTGGTTAATGTCTACCGGCTGATAACCAGAGGGACACTAGAAGAGAAGATAATGGGCTTGCAGAAATTCAAGATGAACATAGCAAATACCGTTATCAGCCAAGAGAATTCTAGTTTACAGAGCATGGGGACTGATCAGCTTCTTGACTTGTTTACTCTGGATAAGGTAAAGAACTTACTTAGGTTTATTCAATCTTGGTGCTGTCTATGATGAACGGTGAGAGGGCGCACACACTTTGAGTTTGCCAGACTGCTGGGGTGCAGTCTTTTGAGATCAGTAAGGCATTTTTTAAAAAGATGGTATCTTAAATTCTATATGTTAGTGTGTGTGCATATGTGCACAGGGCCCATGGAGGCCTGAAGAGGGAGGGGATTGGATTCTCTGCAGCTGGAGTTATAAGGTGGTTGTGAGATGCTTGTTGTGGGTGCTTGAGACCCCTCCACAAGAACATCACACCCCTCAACTACTGAGCCACCACTCAGTCATACTTGTTTTTTTACCTTTGTGGGGTTTTTTGTTGTTTGTTTTTGTTTTTGTTTTTTTGAGACAGGTTTCCTCTGTGAAATAGTCTCGGCTATCCTGGAATTCACTCTGTAGACCAGACTGGCCTTTTAAAGTACATTTACTTCCGTATATGTGGGGCAGTTGTTGCACATACACAACACACTTGGGTCAAAACAACATCCTGAAGTTGGCTCTCCTTCTACCACCTGGCTCCTGGGGACATGACTCAGACTGTCAGGCTTGGTGGCAAGTACCTTTGCCTACTAAAACATTTCGTGGGCCAGTTGATAACTTTGGGCTACATATATTCCTCCACACTACATGTTTAAAGTCTTGGTCTTTGTATTGTCAGCAGTGTCTTGTCTCAAGGTTTTCTTTCCTTTGTGTTTTCCTTCTCAAGGGATCTTGTAATCTCTGGAGTCTGTGGAACTCATGGGTGGGTGTTTCTGGTCCAGATCCTAATAATTGGCAACTTTGGGCAAATTAAATTCCGAGCATCTATATCTGTATCACGCACATGATACAGGTATTTAGAGCAGACTGTTAATAGATAGAAATGTTATTGTGGGGGATTAAACTCTTATTTAATCTATTAGATAAGAACCTAACATGGAAACGTTGTACATAGCAGAGCATGGTGCCTGAGGCCTGTAATTCCAGGACTCTGGAAGCTGAGGCAGTTTAGGGCTAATCTGGACTAAATAGCAAAACCCTGTCTGCCTCCCTCCCTCTTAGACCTAGTCTCACCCTTGTCTCTTCCCATTTTATTGATTGGTTGTATGAGAGAACTTGCGGTATGGCTGAGGATGGATGGCTTGAACTCCCAATCCTCCTGAGTGCTGGGATTACAGGCATTCTCCACTGTGCCCAGTTTTGTGCTGTGCTGAGGTCCAACACAAACAGAGCTTAGAGTGTGCAAGGGCACTCTCCCTCTGAGCTACTCTCTGCCTTCTTTTTTCTGGTTTTGGCCATTGAACTCAGGGTCTGGTGCACAGTAGGCACCTATTCTACCCAAGCTACAGCCTTTGACCACCCCCCCACATACACACGTTTTTTGAAGACAGGGTTTCTCTGTGTAGCCCCATCTGTCCCAGAACTAGCTCTGTAGACCAGGCTGGCCGCAAACTCACAGAGATCCACCTGCTTCTGCCTCTGGAATGCTGGGATTAAAGGCGTGTGCCACCACCACCACCACCAGGCTCCCTCTTTTCTGTTTTTTAAAAAAGGTAATTCTGAAGTCAGTAAGCTCATTTTAAGAAAGGCAGAGGTGGTACATACTTTTAACCCCAGCATGGCGGAGGCAAAGATGGGGGGTGGGGGGAGGTGGAGGGGTGGGGGGGGTGTCTCTGAGTTCAAGGCAATCCTGGTCTACAGAGTGAGTTCTAGGACCCTGTCTCAAATAAAAAGCTCATTTCTATCTACCAATGTTTCATTAGGATGGCAAAGCAGAAAAGGCCGACAGCTCTACTTCTGGAAAAGCGAGCATGAAATCGGTTCTTGAAAACCTGAGTGACCTCTGGGATGCTGAGCAGTATGATTCCGAGTACAACCTAGAGACCTTCATGCGTTCTCTCGAGTAACTGCTGCACGCTGGATGCAACTGCTGCTAGTTCAGTTACATTCTGCTGATATTCAGCAAACTCCGAAGTCATGGTGAACTTTAACTGAATGTATAAATAGATCTGAAGAATATTCAGCATAGTGCTGGCTCTTGTTTCACTGGGGAACAAGTTATTCTCAAATATTTGCACTGTATTAAATTTAAATGGCAATGTGAAAAGATTTAAATTTTACATGCTGAATAGCTGCAGACAGGAAGCGGCCAGGTTTCCGTGTGCTACCAGGAGGTGCTCCCGCCGGGAGAGCCACCTCTCCAGTCACTTGGTTCATGATGAGATCCACCAGTGCTGTGGTGTCCGTGAGCATTTGTTTTCTTTAAAATAGTACTTGTTTTTATAATTGATTACAAATAGGGCTTCTTTTGTATTTAAAAGCCTCAATGAGCCATACTTTTCCCAATTTCAGAGTGACTCTAACATTAGTCATCCTTAGAACATGAAATGTTAAACAATGAATTGAAGCAGGCCCTGTGGCAACCTTTGTATATTTAAAGCAGATGCATAGAGTGTTTTTCAAATCTTTATTAACATCATTTTGTTCACTTTTAAAGTATAAAAACTATTCTAAATACAGGTACTGGTATATTTAAGGCTATAATAACATCCTATTAGAGGGTGGGTTTTTGTTTAATTTATCTAATGGCTAGGATATAGCCAGATTCAAAGAACATATGTACTCAGTAGGTTATCCTGTGGTGAAGGCTGTTTACTGTAGTAGAGCATGACTGAGACACAGGGAGGAACTGCTCTTCATACACAAGCATACAAGGATATACATATCTATATGCACAAAGTGTCCATCCTATACCCAATGTGTCTGGTTTTGGCACTAAATTCATATAGTTATACCAGACAGCAATAATAACTGAGCATGGAGCTAATGGTGTTAAAACAGCTCAGTGGTGAGGGTGGGTAGCTGTATATAGATATGCATGTATGTATATAATTTTATAAATCCCACATAAGTTAATACAGGCCTGTGTATAAACACACATGTGGAATATTTGTGTATATATATGTACAGATAATAAACATCCTTAAGATTTGTGTCTGGTCCTACACCTAGGCATCAAGTTAAAAACCATCAGACCTCAATTGTACAATAATAAGGGTTTTGTTTAAAATAATTAAAAGTTCTACAGCACTTAGATATGAAGTTTGTCACACTTGAGTAGCCTTGACAACCATGCTGTAATACTGAACCTAGCATTCCACAAGAGAATAAATACAAATTGTGAAGTCTGTGCAATTGTGTGTTGTTTACAGTGAAGACTAAACAGCCAGCCCAGATACATGGGTTTTTGAAAAGCTACACTTTTTCATATCGTAAGTTTATATTCAAATATAGTAGACCAAAAGGAGAACTCATGATTTTATGTCGAGTATACAGTGTGCTTGATTGTTTTTATAAATATTTATTTGTTATTTGCATATCTTCTAAAAGTAGGGAGCAGTTTTATCATTGAAGAATTCACACCAATATATTAATTTTTTATCATAACACGAAAAGTCACAACTAGAGTGGATGTCTAGGCAATCAAAAGTTGGCAGGTTTAATCAGAAAGTACATTTGTATACTGGCAAACTGTTTCTCAGAGGGTGGGAAGGAAAGTTATTCTGTCCTTTCTGTGGGGACAGTATCACTTTTAAAACCTTTTATTGTAAGATGTGAAATCACACATTCTAGTTTCCCAAACAAAGGAAAACCCAGAACTTAGAACCCTGCTCCTGAGTTGGTGGTGGAGAACACTGACCTGAGGTGCTGGGTGCTGTCAGCTGTGTGGTGGTGACCATGTGTCAGTTATGTTTTTAAATATGCTGGCCTGGGCGATAAACATGGTGTAGTGTTGGTGCTGAGCTGGGTTGTGAGCTCAATGGAATCCATTGTACCTCTGTTTGTTGTTGAAGTTTTTAAATAGCTAGAAATGATTACATTTGGGGTCCATATACACTGACTATTTCTTTATAGGAAAGTCTTTAAAACTTGAGGTTCTGAGTATAATGTCTAACATTTATACACACAAAGCCTAGTCTTTAAGCAGTACTGCTTATTTGATGATGACTAGGAGAGCAGACTCCCATAGAGGCTTTATCAAATGTAAATATTCCAGGGGAGCCATTTGAAGGTGTGACCATACCCCTTTTGAATGTAACTGATCTCAGAACTAAGCTGGGTCAGGCCTGGTTAGTACTTGCAGAGAGAGCATGGCCAGTTAAGTGGCAGAATTGCTTGCCTTTAGTCCTAGCCCTCAGGAGGCAGAGGCAGGCAGATCTCTGTGAGTTGGAGGTCAGCCTGGTCTACAGAGCAAGTTCCAGGACAGACACAACTATACAGAGAAACCCTGTCTCAAAAAATCAATGCAATAGAGTTTGCAGGAAAGAATACATACTCTGCTATATGCCTATATTGAGTATTGCCCACCAATCTAGATTTGTACCTTCTTCAGACCTCAACTTCCTGGTGGGACTAAGTGACATTAATTTCAGAGATGTCTGTTATCAAATGTCAGAAAATTCAGTGTGAATTAATACAATAAAAACTTGAGTTTTGATACTGATCATTTGAGAATGTTTGCTTGTTATACTAAGCACTGGCAACCTAGAAAAATAGAACCTGTAAAGAGATAGGACTGGCCTTCTAGGCTGGAAATGGCTTGGTGGGTGAAGGCACTTGCTACCTAAGAACCCAAGTCCTTCAAGTGCCATCTAGCTACAAAGCACTTCAGTGTCTTCAGCTGGCTGCTCTGCAGTCTCACCATCTCACCTTTTGTGGGCTTCTAGCTGGTCTAACTAGTGGCCAGATCCTCCGTGCCTTGTCACATCATACCACATCAAACTTTCCTGTAAGGGATCTATACGTCATGGCCCTTGCCCACCTCTGGCCACATCTCTCTCCATATTTCTCTGTTTATCTCAGTCAAGGCAGTATGTTCTCGTAACTCAACATAAAACTGGGTGCTGCCCAGTTTAATCCCAGCAGAAAAACAAACATAATTAAAATAAGCCTGGCTGTTATGTTCTTACACTCCAGAGTGAACATCAAGTGAGAAATGGAAACAACAAAGATTTGGGGAGGGGTGAAGATAGGGAGACAACTTTTATATTAATTTTCAGACACCTGATAAAGACATCTCTTAAAGGAGAGATGCCAAGGAGGCAGATAGGCAAGTCAAGCCCAAAAAGGGGCAGTCAAGACTGAAATTCAGTTTGGAAGATGGTATATTTATGGTAAGGAGTTGCAAGATTACCTTGCAGAGATGCTGTGACTGCAAAAGACCTGAAGGCCCAGCCAGCCAAAGCTAGGGCATGCCTGTAGGTATGCAACGAGTTGTATGCATGGCTCTGATTTAAAATGAAGGCAACAGTCACACGCACATTCACGACTCCTTTGATGCCATTTACTATACCAGTGAGAGAAGCACAGAAATGAGAAAGGAAGCCAAGCGGTGGTGGCTCACACCTTTAATCCCAGCACTTGGGAGGCAGAGGCAGGAAGATGAGTTCAAGGCCAGCCTGATGTACAGAGTGAGTGCTAGGATAGGCTCCAAAGCTACACAGAAACCCTGTCTGGGTGGGGAGGGGAGGAGATGAGAAAGGAGAGAAAAACCAAAGTTGGCATGGTTTCATTAATATAGGAAAACCCTTCTAGTAAAAACTATTGTTTGCAAAAAGGAAAATAAACTTTTAATGGTAAGCATGGTAGTTTGAATTTAATTGGCCCCTATAATCTCAGGGAGCGGTGTGGCTATGGCCTTGTTGGAGGAAGTGTGTCATGGGGGGGGGGTGTTCTACATTCAGGATACCACCCACTGTCACAGTTGACTGCAAGATGTAGCACTCTCAGCTCCAGGCCCATGTTTGCCTGCATGCTGCAACCTCTCAAACTTTAAGAGAACCACCTGAAGTAAATGTTTTCCTTATAAGATTTGCCATAGTCATGGTCTCTTCACAGCAGTGAAGAATCCTGAGACAGTAAGTGATTTGGTTCATGAGAAGTCACAGGTGCTTGATAAACACTTCACATCAAACCTGGACAAAACCACAAAAACAAACTCAAGGTGGCAACAGGGATTTCACATCTCAGAAGCAACAGACCAAAAGAAAAACGGGAGTAGCATATAGATCATCTGAATATATAATGTATTTGGCATAGCAATCTGGGTATGACAACTTTCAGGATACATTTCCTTGGATGCTTCTAAGGAAAATGGACCCAAACTGGCCATATGCTGAAGCATAATGCAACACCTGGCAAATTTCAAGAAATTGAAATCACAAATGTCCACCTCTTTACCAGTTGCTTTTAGCCATTACAGTAGAGCTATCTAAAAGACAAAAAAGGGGGCTGCCCATAAGACTTGGTGGTTAAGAGGCTACTCTTCCAGAGGACTCAGGTTCATATCCCACTATCCACATGATAACTCACAAGGATCTCTAATTAGTCCCAGGGACCCAGCACCCTCCCTCTGGCCTCTTTGAACATCAACTACATGCACAGGCACATGTTCACAAAACACACACATATGTGATTTTTAAAACACCTGCCAGGAATGCTCACACATCCCAGCACTTAGGAAGTTCAACTTTGCAGCTATGCAGAAAGTTTGGGGCCATCCTAGGCTGCATGAGACCCTTCTGAGAAAACAAAAGACCTTATAAACAGTCATTTTCGATGGAGAGCCTACAAAAGCACAGTGATGAGGCAGTTTAGTTGGAGATGGTGTCAATATTTAAAATTTTTTGTTTCTGAATGCTAGCAATAAGATTTTTTTTTTTTCCCAAGACAGGATTTCTCTGTGTAGCTTTGGAGCCTGTCCTGGAACTCACTCTGTAGACCAGGCTGGCCTTGAACTCAGAGATCCACCTGCCTCTGCCTCCCGAGTGCTGGGATTAAAGGAAGAATTTCATTTATTAATGGTCTAAATATAACAGCACCAGAATCCATGAGACAGGTACATATTTACAAAGCATGTGAGGATATAGGTTAAATAGTATAGGGTGCCTGGTGTACAAGAGCTAGTTCCAAGACAGCCTCCAAAGCCACAGAGAAACCTTGTCTCGAAAAACCAAAACAAAACAAATATATATATATATATGGCAACAACATGACCTTGAGAAGTGGAGATATACCACATTCATGCCCCCCCCCCCCCGGTTTAATTTCCAGGACTAGACACCAAATTGTTCAGAAAACTCAATATTGTTTGGGTTCCAAAAATGTACAGAGTCAAATCAATCCCACTGAAAATCCCAGTGAGAGTTTTTAAAGAACTGATTCTAACCCTGAGAAAGTTAAGAGAGACTTGAAGGGCTTTTCATACCTTGGAGGAGGAGTTTTGCAGAGGGGCCTGAAAGAATGTTGGACAGACAGGCAGAGATTAAGCAAGAAAAAAACAGGAAAGAGCTGCATTCCCAGGACATTAAATTTAAAGGAGTTACAGCAATCAGGAGCAGATAGAGCTGGAGGATGCCTGCAAATACACTGCTTTATTGCTTGGCTTTTCTTTAATGGAGAAAGGACAGTCTCCAAAATTGGGTCCATATGCTTAAAAAAAGTCTCTAGGTCAGGCAGT